TATCCCCTGTGTGCCTTGTCGACTCAGTACATTATACGAAGTTATACGACTACGATTGATCTATTTCTTATTACTGCTTAGGGCTTAAAATCCTCATTGTGAACCGACACTAAAGATGTCTAGAAGACGTTTTAAAAACATTTTTATGAAAAAAAAACGTCCAAAAGACGTTAAAAGACATCTCATGTCCCGATTTTAGACCTTATGTCGTCGAGGTTTATTAGTACGTGTGCATTTCTCATCGATTATCAAATCCAACGTAGAGTGCGAGGCCCCGTTTGAGCAACAGTACCCATTCTCTTTCTCTCTCTCTCTCTCTGGCGAAATAAATAATTCAAATTATTGTACCAAAAACAGGGAGAGTGGAGCGCTCTCAGACGTGTCGCGAGAGCACTTTGCAAATTAACGAGGCTCGCGTAAGGAATATATCCGGGATTTAATGCGCCGCGGAGGGGGAGGGGAAGGGAGGGAAAGAAGAGATGGAAGAGGAATCGGCTCTCGACCTCCGATTCGACATCGAGATCGATATCTCACCCGATGCGCGTAGCGCGCCGGCTGATTTATAAACGCCGGGCGTCGTTTCGGCCGCCCGTATAAACTCCATCGAGGGGGAACGTCAGTGATCAGCGCCAGGCGGAAGCCTCCGTCTGATTGACTTTCAGCCGTGCGTGCCTTCTGACATTGATTGACCGTACCACATGAGAACCCGTCGTTCTGGCAGCCACTACGTTATACGGCATACGTAACGTCTACTCGAGAGCTCGGAACGCCGCAGGTCTTATCTATCATTAGCCCGCGCCGCGCGTCCCGCGTTGACGTTTCGCGAAAGACGCGAGGTATAGTTGACGTTAATTTTTATTTTTAACACTATTATATATTACGTTTATTCGGCATACGTGTGAATTCCCTCCTATAGAAACTTCCGACTTTTATTACGCGAGGAAATCTCTGGTTGAAAAAAATAAAATTTATAAATAGGAATTTTAAGTTTGTAATAAATATATCAAAAGAGAGCAAGGATATAAATAAGAGTCACACGTGGATGTCGGAGTATATCAATATATGTAATAACTACACGTACAAAAGTTTACATTTAAAACGCGTAACTCAACAAGACACTTATATAATGCATACGTATCGACATAATAAATTATGTTGGAATTGCGTGAGAAACGTTACATCGGGGAAGACGCTCGCATGTCTCATAGGAAACTTATACGTTTTTTAAATAGTTTCAAAGAAGAGACGTGATGTCGGCTATAAAAAAAATGTTCGAGAAGACATAGGAGTTCGTATTTCGGGAGAAAGATATGGGGAAACAATATGGGGAATGCACCATGTAAAATGTCATTAAGGATCGAGAGTGACATTTATGAGTAGATAAGACTACTGTATTTGATGGGGATCGAGAAATGGATGAGGAACGTGCGCCAAATGATAGAGGGTGGGCTCCGATAAGAGCGTCGGGAGGGTGAGGCGCGCAAGAACCGAGCACGCGAGCCTCTAATCGCCTCGACTCGAGGAGACGCGACGCTTTTCGTGCCAAGGTCGGCACCCTCGTCTAATTCGGCATCGGAGCGAACTCGAACGCAGATAGATAGAGAGAGAGAGAGAGAGAGAGAGAGAGAGATGGGGGTTCATCTTTCTTGCCGCGCGAAAAAATTCCTCCCTTGAAATTCATTTGGCCGTAACGATATGAAGAGAAACGAGGCGTTCCTTTTCTAAACGTTCGCGCACGCGACTTCCGCGAACCATCTCTCGCTGGAGCAATTAAAAGCATCATTTGCTAATTACCGGGTGAACGAGTACGTTGCACTTGTAAGTCCCGTGACATTCCCGGGAAATGGAAATTAGACCTCCGTATTGCGGAAAAAAGAACTTTTATAATTTAATTTAAATTACGTTTGTGCCGTTTGTTCATCTTTGAAACACGGTTTGTGATGACTTGTAGTAATTTTATTTTATTCTCGTAATTATATTAGAAGAGATTTAAAACCAATTCTTTAGATTAATGACATAAATTTTTATTTTCCGCCGCTTTCGCTTTCACATAAAAACATTTTTAATGGAATAAATTAGCGTTACAACGCGAAATAGAAGAAAAAAATATATAATTAAATATTTCCTAATTTATATTATTTAAATACTTTTTTAGCACATATTTTATGAAGTTAGCATATTTATTATATTTTATAGTAATAAAACAAGGGAAAAAAAATAATCGTGTTATCTATCAGTTTCGTATTTAAATGCAGCGAATATTAATTAAATTCAGATTCGACTGCCAAATTCCAACACGCCGCGCCGTAGCGAGCACGGAAAGTCTCGGTAATCTCTTACGGACGCGATACGATTTATTAAGATTTCGCACGTGCCTATTCGCCGAGGTTACTAATAAGTGTTAATAAGTGTCTCACGCGATGCTATCATACTAAAATAATGATGACGTTCGCTTCGGAGTCACGTGCATCGTCGTGTCGTTGACATTTTCAAGACGTGATCGTAATTACGAGAAGCCAGTTCCGCAGTTCGACACGGTCTCGGGGCGCAAAGCTGTCTTTAATAAATATGTACGTGAGGGTCCTGCGCGGAAGAGGCAGATATTACTGACCGGTTTAAATCTGATCTTAGACGGTGTGATAGCCAAGAAGCTGGAGTCTGTGAGCGTTTCGCTCAAGACCATGACCGTAGTCGCTCACGTTGCAATCTGCTCTCCCGGAACTCTGAAAGAAATCAGTCGCGAAATTTATAATTCCGTTCAATCCGTCTTACGTCAACAGTTATTTTTACTTTATTTTAAAGCTTCCTTGTATTTTAAAACTTTCTAAAACTTTATTACAGAGCTTTCTGAAAGCTTTTCCATGTCATATTTAATCTACTTAAAATGTGGTATGTGTAACAATATATATGTAATTATTTTTCAAATATTTTTTTTGTTAGTTTTTAAAAATTATTTCCCCCCTTTTTATTAAAAAATCGAATTGTATCGTGTGTCGGTTTGTATCGTGTAAATTAATGTAAACATATTTAATCGTCAAATTGAATCTACTTCAAGTGTGGTATGTAACAACATGTGTACACAAAAAGAACGATTTTGTTGAAAAATCTAAAAATTTTGCTAAAAACAGATCTGAAAATAATTTTTTGTTGAATTATCAAAATAATTTGTTGAAATGTTAAAACTGATAAACATTGCTACAAAACGTTTTGATATTCTAGTAATCATTTTGGCTTTCGCACAAAATTATTTTCAGATCTGAATTCAGCGAAAATGTTCTTTCCGTGTAACTTTTTTAAAATAATATTTTTGTTAATTTTTAAAAATTATTTCTTCTCTTTTTATCATAAAAAATCAATGTGTTCTGTGTGTTGATTTGTGCCATGCAAATTAATGTAAATATATTTAATCATCTAAAATGCAGACTGGACGGCGCTGTACGTGTAATTATATATTAATTGTTTTATTATATGATGAGATCATCCCTAATCGAGGTCTGATTTTTTAGTGACTTTGATGATCATTGATAATTACCGCGCTATCAAAATGTTTTTAAATCGCTTGTAAAAAATAAATGTCATCTAGTATAAAATGTTTAATGACGTATAAATAATTAGATAACAATGTAAAGTAAAAAAATGTGCTATTTAATACAATTAGTCAGAAGATAAGTATTATTTAATCATATTTAATCGTATTATTCAATATTTTATTATTATATATTTATAATGAAAATTCTATTGTGATTTATGATGAAAGACTCATAAAACTCGCTAGACAACTCGCAGACTGGACGGTGCTATACGTGTAATTATAACTATCTTATTACATGATGAGATCATCCCTAATCGAGGTCTGATTTTTAGTGACACTTTGATGATTATCGCGCTATCAAAATTTTTTTTAATCGCTTGTAAAAAATAAATGGCATCTACTATAAAATTTTTAATGACGTATAAATAATTAGATAACAACGTAAAGTAAAAAAATGTGCTATTTAATACAACTAGTCACGACGGAAGATAAGTATTATTTAATCATTTTTAATCGTATTATACAATATATTTATAATAAAAATTCTATTGTGATTTATAATAAAAGACACATAAAATTCGCAAGACAATAGCAAGTTGATGAATGAATTAAAAAGGATTCTTTCGCGTTTGAACACATATATATTATTCATACTCGTCCGTCAACGTGTGAATATTGGAATTGCGATCTTGACTGATCGAAAACTCAATGCGGACTCTGCCGCGTGAAAAATTTAACATGACCTTTCGGCTCGGACTTAATCCGGTGGTTCGCGCCTCTGGGTCACGGTCTGAAACGTGATTCTTTCGACTATTCTGCACTCGAGCCAGATACCACGCCATGCGTGTTCTAAATCCGTATCACGTAATTAGGCGCCTTAGACGCCGCGAGCGCGCGACGGAGTCTCGTGTTCTTCTCTCACGCGGCTACTCCGTGTGCAAAGTTATAAAACGTTATCTCCCGAGCTTCACCATTTGCAATGCAAACCGCGCGTTTATGCAAACCCTATTATCGTTTACACAAATACGTTATCAAATTCCAAATAAAAAGTCGCACGTCTGAGAGATGCATTAATCGTCCCGCGCGAAACTCCGGTGTATATCTCGAGAACAAACGAAAGATATGTACTCTGACTCTCGGAACACGTCGCGTCTCGAGGCAATAATCGAAATCCGCGGTCGGCGCGTCGAGGGTGAACAGATGCACGGCGATCCTAAATCCGTTTACCTTTGCGCAACCGGTGTCTTCTATTCTTGAATTACGATCGAAATGTGATCCTCGCGAGGGCTCTCTTCGAAAACAACGCGACTGCGGCGGCGGCGGCGACGAACCACGCGGCACGAATCGCATCATTTGCCCGAGCGGTTATCGGTTAAACGCGCGCGCGAATCGAGTCTGATTTCACATCGCCGGTCGACTTCGCCGCGATCGTTCGCTCGTCAAGGGGTTGATTGGCTACTGGGCCAAAGTTTAAATTGCACCCTCGCATCGAAAGTCTCACGAGGGCTGGAGCGAGGCCTCCCATCATCACGCAGGCGCGAATTTCAGCCAGGTGTTACGGATCGGCCAGCGCTGATGGAAAATTAGAATTACGCTTCCCCCTCGCGAATTTGAGGAAGCCCCGCCGCGCGTCCTCGCGCGTTACCGCGGATAACATATGTGCAAAGGCCCGCGGCGGAATTCCAAATTGCATCGCGATTTATTAGGCGCGTGTCGCGTTCGCGCATCCGTGTTGGACGCGCACCGCGCGGGTCGCTGGGATTCCGTATGATTGATTAAAACGGGCAACATCATTTGGCAGTAAAACAAAGGCGCTACTCTAACAGCGCACGGGAATTAAGATCAATATAAGCTTGATGAACTTAATTTTAGCCCCCGCGGAAAAATAAATTTCGCGTCAATTTGCGTTTTTTTTTTCTTTTCCGCGAACAAGCTGGTGGATTATTTTCGTATGTTCGAAGCCGAAATCCGAAATCATCGCGATTATACCCTGCCTCGCCGCCTGCAGATGACGTCACGTGGCTTTATTTCTTTCTCTCGGCGCACGGAAATCTTATTTCTTGTTTCTACGTTTTCTCTATTCCTGTATGTTTTGACTTGTTTAATTACATTTTTCAATCTTACGACGCGAACCGCAATTTGATTTCCGTTAAGTCAACTTCCATCAGCAATGCGCGATGTGTACGTCACACGGAACAAAAATTGGTCTTAAAAAATCAAGTGTAGGTAGTTTTGTATTATAAACTGGACTATTTATAATCTTCTAAAAAATTCTTTAGCCTTGAATTTCGTGCACAAGTAATACTTGCAATACAAATTTGGTCAAAAATCAAGACTAAGTCTTCTAAGAAAATTATAATATTCTCACTTATGTACACGGAAAAAATTGCTGTGGATGTTACAACAATATTCTCTATGTTTGGAAAAGAAATGCATGTGAATTTAAGTTATTTTGATGTTACATGGCATTCATCTGTTAAGGTATACTCATCAGTACGGTTGTCACAACCGTAGTGCTTAGGATAAATAATATTCGGTTAGAATATCTTCATATATGTGGTTGCCTCAACCGAAGCATTATTGTTGTCTCTCTAGTATGGTCTGTACAACAAATAATATAATTGAGAGATATATATGATATAGTTGCACGTCACAACATTGAGGCTGAGAGTTCAGTTAACTATATAAATCACTTCCAAAGTATTTTAGTTCCTATAACTCTTCTAAATTGATGGGCGAAAATTATCACAATTATTAGGTTGTGGCAACAGCAATTTTTTTTCCGTGTACGAATATATTCATTTCGATTCTAATTGCCGAAGACTCCACGGAGAGAATTTCTTTTTAAAATTTATCCTGAAAATTTTGTTAATCGTGGGACAACATAGTATTTCGACAAATTTTACTGCACACTATAATACAATAAATTTTACTGTGCACTACGATAAATTTTATTGTGCATTGCAATAAACGTGCGTAGTATATGTTAAATAAAATAGTGAAAATCATATAAAATTCATCGAAATACTATGTTAGCCTACGAAAAACATGATTTTCAGGGTAAATTTTAAAACAAAATTCTCTCCGTGTAGTTTTCCATCTATGCGATCGAAATTTCGAATCGATAGTACGTCGCAGAAATTGCGGCGCCCGATCCGGAATTGTGCGCGGCGAGACAGAGAGTTAATCGCCTCACTTATTTTCTCATTTTTCATTCTATATTTACGTCGCGGCACGCGGCCGCCGTACTGCAATAGGTGCACGTGCTCGCGGCCCGCAACCGAAGTGTGATTCGAGATCAATTTAGAGAATCCGATAACTAAAAATACAACCACGACCACTGTAACTCGACCACTCCTCCCTCGTGCGCGTTTTCGCGCTCGCTGGAACTTCTTCGAGCTCGGTCGAAACTGTTAGAAGAACCTTTGACGCGTTGTCAACACTTGCTCACGACAAGAAACGTAACTTTTCTGAAACATGTGATTTTCCCGATAAAACGCGAGTATAATGCAGTTTTTCTCCTGTCTCGCGATCGCACGTCAACGATGTTATCACGCTGAACTCCAAGTGCGGACAGCTGAGCAAATCCAGCGCAAATCGAGTCAGCGATATTTAGTCAAGGAGATACATGTGCTTCCGTTGTTCCGCTACGAAAAGCTTTTTGTCCATCCAAACTGAGTGTGTGCTTTCCGTTATCTTTATGAATCTCATCTTTCCCAGAAATGTATGATAATGTTGAAAGCGAGATTAAAAGACTACATAATTTTGTCGAGCTCTACTGCTCTTTTTTTGATACGCAAAAATATAATATGTTTGCATGTGTATTTTTATGTATTAAAAGTGTTCGACCCAGTATTCGGATTTCGAAATCGACGCATAAATGTAAATATAGAGACGGAAGCGAAAACCTTTCGTGTTCTCATTAGTTTAGATTTCTTTTTCGTCGAAAATCCGGCATCGCTCCAGGAAAGCTTTGGTCGCCTTGTGCAAGACAATTGGCAGAGGGTTACTTCCCGATGTTCGCCAATCCCAAAATTGAGCTTACCCGGATTATACCAATTTTCTGGCTAAAGGCCGCCGGTATAGTAGCCGTCAGCGTCACCGTTAACCAGAATCGTCGGGTGAGAGGCATTTACATAACGTCGCACGACTGGGACGTCCGCGCGATTGATGATCCGCCCATTAACGTCGCGCGACGATGTCCCAGATCACGCACGATCCTCCGCGCTACGACCGGAGCGACTGCGTCGCGGTAATATAAACGCGCACATGTAACGCGCGTAGCTCGCGCGGTCACTTCCGAATTATTGTCGCGCATCGCACCTGGCCGCACTAAAAACGATCTGGAGACAGCGCTGCGGCTTCGATACGGCGGGAAGGGACGAGGGGAAGCCTGGGTAGCCGGCGAGGAGCGCGGCGTGCTATTTCTGCCGATCGTTTCTCGGATCGCGCGCGATTAAACGGATAGATAGGGCGAGAAGCGAGCGATGATCGCGGACACAATAGCGCGCGTTGAACTAAGAAAAATATCGTCGACGGAGAGGATTTAAATGTCGCCTCGCCGCCGCGTCGTGGTAAATTCGGATCGTAATGAGTCCGCGCGGGGCTTTAAATTTCGATCGCCCGACCGCGAATGGCGCGTCGAGCCGCGTCGCGGTGACAATGGCCCGTCGCGAAGATAATTTTACGCCCCGCCGCAAGATAACAGTAAATGTCACTTTACCAGCGGTTTTTGCAACCTTTTATAAGTAAGCTTCGAGTGCCATTAGAAGGAAACAAAACTTTTATAAGTGTTTTTAGAGAGAGAGAGAGAGAGTACGGAGGCGCTTAACATAATTGATGCATTATATAAATTTTAATTTAATATTTTTAATGACGACTCTAGTAAATCCAATTAAAATTAAAATTAATTTAATTAAAAATTAATATTTTGAAAATGACTTTGATTAATTTAAACTTTGATTAATTTAAAATCACATGAAATACGTAACGCATTTAAGAATCCTAGATTTTAATTGTAATAATTTGCAATGATTTCTCAAATAAATGTTGAGGTAGACTCAACATTCTTGAATAAAATTTCCAAAAAATGTTAAAGTAATCACAATGTTCGAGTACGGAGAAGCTTACTAATTTTGTAAAAAAAATTAGTAAGGTTCTCCGTTGTTCGATAAATATATAACGTTCGAAGAAGAAAATTTTTGGTTTTTTCTGGCAAGTTTCGATTGCAGACACCGCAATCATCGCGAGCTATTTTTGCGAATTCCGTGTATGTTAATCAGGCGGATACACGAAAGCCACTGGGGCAAGGTGATAGACAACGGTAACGAATCGCATAACGAAGCATGCGATCTGAGATTGCATTACCGTATGAGCTAACACGGCAATTTATGCATGCGAAAAGTTTTGCCGCGAGAAATTCTGAAATCTCGGCGGCGTGTGTGTGTGTGTGTGTGTGTGTGTGTTATACGCGAAGCGCGAAAACTGCCGCACGCACGCGAACGCCCGTGTCCGAGAATCAATATTTGCTGGCGCTTCCAATGAAGAAGCTCGTAATTTCGAGAGGAAGTCGTTGGCGCGCGAAGAGCCAAGTGGTTTCCGTGCCTGCTCGTGACGGGCTATTAAGAGTTTCCCGCCCGGGTTAAGTGTAAGTCGCAGTTTTGACACGGATGTTCATTGCGCCGCACCTCGGCGCTTCTCCGAAAAGAAAATGAGGACGGTGCATTAATTAACACTCTGGAAACGGCCGAGGGTCAGAGGGCTATTCACAAGACATGATTTCCAATCGATCGAGAGAGCCCTTGAGATTTTCTCTCTCTCTCGTTACGTATACATTTTATTTCTATATAATTCGAAACTGTGAATGTGTGGCTGCTTTGAAAGCACTCGGCTGTCAAAATGACTGACAGTTCCGTCGAGCACTTTGTATTTTTTTTTTTTATTTTTTTTTAGACAGGCGCGGCATCTTCGACAAACTGTGTCACAATGCGTTATGGAAAATCTACGGCGCCAACTGTGCCTAGGCCACTTATTTTTGCGCGAAGCATCGTGTAACGTTTTTTTTTTTCTTTCGGGTCAGCCCGCAGCTCGCTCATTTGACACTGACCTTGGAAGTAATGAACGCAGAAAGAAACTGCTACGCGAAATTAAGGCACGTGAAACACGTCAGCTGTCTATCAGCGAACTCGCACGAACGGCCTTCCTCTATTTTATTCAGCGGGCGCGAAGTTTCTCGGAAGATGTTTTTCTCGGTATAATATTTCAGAAGTGACTCTCTCATACCCTTATGATTTGCTCGAATGATTGGCTGACACGAGAGTGCACCTTTTCCGCAACGGTACGTTACGCGTGTTACGCGCATCGGCAACGTGTGTGGATTCACGTTAATTTCATAGATACTTTCTGAGTCCCAAGTATGTCACCGATAATCAGTGAAATTCAACTGAAAAATCAATGAAACATGAAAAGCTGAAATAAGTGAATAATATTATTTTTCAGTTGAATTTCACTGATTATGTCAGTGACATACTTGGGACTTAGAGAGTATCTATGAAATAACGTGTCTATTGAAATAACGAAATAACATTATTCACTTATTTCATGTTTCACGTTTCACTGATTTTTCAGTTGAATTTCACTGATTATCAGTGACATACTTGGGACTAGAGAGTATCTATGAAATTAACGTGAATCCACACACGTTGCGTCACTCAATGACGCCTTGACGCTTCAATGCACCGCTAATGTGTAAGTGAAACAGAGTCCGAATCCACTGTTCTATAATTGCACAGCTCGGATTCGACTCTATTTCACTTACTCATTAGCGATGCAAGGCGTTATTGATTCAACCATTGACTTTTCCACTGGTTCAGATTTAGAGAGTAATAAATTAAATTCTCTTCTTCATGTAAATTATATCGAAGATGCTGAAAGAGGGGACGGATTACATTAATTACATATTCAAAGTTTAATGGTATATTTTGATAACATGCAGAGTTTACATCAAGGGTGAGTTATGCAACGTCAACTCGATAGAGAGCGTACAGCTTCTTCCTTTCATTGGCATCCAATTGTCATGGAAAAGAATGAAATAAAATAGCAATATCGTGGTAAATCGCTGACCGAGAGAGAGTGGAAAATACAGTAAGTACGGAGTGGAGCGATCCATTTCCGGGTCGCGTTTCTAGGTACAATACTTATTTGGCAACAATTAACAACAATCGAGATCAAAGATCGTCCACGGTATTGGCGACTCCTTCCTCCGGCTCTGGCGAGGGCATCCAAAGCGAGCCCTCGGGCTACGAGTTACCATTTTCGTGAGCGTTGATCCCAAGATATGCGAGATTCCCGTGATCTCGAAACTGTGGAATTTCACATCGACGTGTCGTACAACGGGACGTACACAGAAGAGATTCGCGACAAGATCGGAGATCGCGGTGACCCGCCGGGGATATCGGGATCTCCCGTCGCTGGTGAAGCTTCTGGCAGTAAGGATTCTAAGATTAAGAATTTATGCGCGGAGCGTCGCGGAAACGTCTGACAGTTTGACCCGGCAAACAAGAACTCTGTGGGTGTTCGGACGAGTTTAAACCACTTGGGGAGCGTATCTTCGAGATTACTTTAACATTTCGTACTTAGCTATTTAAAACTATAGTCGAGGAGAAGCGCGTCGCGTTCCTCTCGCGATCTCGGTGGATCGTCGACGTGACGAACCGACGACGATCACCGAGTGCAGACGAGCGCGCGCGGCATCCGACAATAGAAAATTTTTATTTAATTCGTTTTCGAAATGGATAAAGACTTCGCGTCGAACGGCTCGAGGTACGAAATTTCTACGAGTGTATGTAAAGGCGCGGTAACGTTTCTAAGTAAACTGCAATTCGGTGAAACGAGATAGACGAAGAAATACACGCGGTTCTTCGGGAAACGTTCTTCCTGCGCGGAAGCAGAACTGTAAAGTGTTGTCGAGCGTTGCGAGAAACGCTCGATCTCGCGTCTAACAACGCAAACCCCTTCTCTTCCGCTTTTGTCTTCCGGCCGTTTTGTCCGAATCTTAAAGACCAGCCGTTTTACTGAACCCACGAGGCTGGCACCCAAAGCGGCTCAGACTCCACTCGATGGACCGCGTTGACTAGTTGCTCGAATGCCATGGGAAGGTCTGCGTTCACAATCACCTCGTCGAAGAGGTGAGAATACAGGAACTCTATCCTCTCCGCGCTGTGCAGGATCTCGCGGAATTCCTCGTCCTGTGATGAAATATAAAATTGATAATAAAGTACAATTCTAGAACTCATCCTATACTCTTATAGATTTCAAAGATGTTTATTATTAAATATTAAAATATGGTGAACAAAAAGATATCTAGATAACACTTTAACCATGTCATCCATTTTTGAGTGACGCGTAAAACTTCGCAAGGATCCCGTCATTTATTTGACAGTTTTATTTACCCAACTAAAAATGATTTTATAGAGTATTTAAAAACATTAAAAAACAATATAAATTATATTAAATTATAAAAAAAAACAATAAAGTATTAAAATAATACGTTAAATTTATTAATCAAAATTAGGCAGTCAAAATATTAAATTTAAGAAAGAATCAATATATGTACATATAATAAGAAATGAAAAGTGCGGTTTTTCACTAATATAAGTAAATATAAAATTTCCAACTTTACCGTGAAGCCTCGAGAATTGCTCTCGTCGAAGGTTGACCTCGCTCGAGCTTCATTTCTGGTCTCCTTCAGCACTTCGAACGTTGGTGGTTTTATATATATGATGTATGGCCTCAATTGCGGCGTCCTTAACATCTTGAGAGCTTGATAGTGAGGATTTAGCAGGCATACGTATCCAGCGTTTACGAGCGAGCTAACGCTCTCGGAATTGGTGCCGTATAAATTTCCCTTGTACTCGCCGTACTCGATAAACTTGCCAGCCTCGAAATCCTCTTTCATTTTCTCCCTAGTCACGAAATGGTACTCCTTGCCGTTTTCTTCGCCTGGTCGCGGTGGTCTAGATGTATCTGATAAAAGAATTGCTTATTTAGAAAGAATATTAGATTGATAAATTAATTATCTTAGACATTTTCTCTCTTTATGGAGAGAGAGAGAGAGAGAGAGAGAGAGAGAGAGAGAGTCATAATTATTTAAATTATTTTAAAAAACTTTTTTAATAGATCTACCAAACACTTTTTATTTGTTTCTTTTATTTCTCGAATTACTTTTGTCCCGTACTTTATTGATCATTAATTTAAATAAATCTCTCTTTAGATTTAATAGATATAATAATTATGATAGTGAATTATTAATTTTATAATATAATAATGAATTATAATGAATTATAATAATTTGAAATTTACAGCTACAATATTTATAAATTTAATTATCAGGAAAGATCGTGGAATATTAAATAATGAAGATCAACACCGTACAAAGCGGATTTTGGTGCTCCCACATAATATTATAGTGTTTGTAAATTTAATTTTTCTTTTCTAAGCTAATCTTCCCGTTCTTGTCTCAGTCAGTCGCAATGAGCTTGTCGGTAAACTTACAGGGGACAGGAGTCTTGTATTTTTCAATATCGGTCGCCATGAGCCGCCTCTTCAGCTCGTTCCTGCCGACCCCCGGTGGCCCGATGAGAACCACCGGCCGGTACAGGCCTGGCCTGGGATAGAGTTTCGCGACCTCTTCGTAAGTCGGTACCTCTTCCCGGTCGAAGTCATCGTTCTCTGCAGCGTCATATATGATTTTTTTAGTTTTAATTCCCTGCAAGTTGCACTTTGTAGGCGAGACGTGCAAAGAGATACTGGGACGGGGGCACAATGCGGGCAAAGGCACTGGAACAGAACACAAGCCTAACCGACGGTTAGGTCGTCAGGCCAATCATTCGTTTAAAGAAGCGCAGCCGAGATTTAGCTTGCCGAATTAACAGGTATAACCACCTCGGACACACAAATCTACCGCGCAAACAACCGACTGATTCTAACTGTGTACTTGAGGTGGTCTCTCTAACTAACGATAATTCATTACCGCCTACTTTTACGGCAATATCAGCGTCAAGCTTTCCACTACCAGCCTTAAAACGTTCTCGGAGCGTATTGGCATTTCGCGCATTTAAACCAGCATCCTTCCAATTTATCTTTTTTACAAAAATTTAATACCGGAAGGTAGTGATTAATTACTTATCTTGTTGTTTTTTTTAATACTTAAAGTAAGTGATTTCCAGTATCAAATTGAAATTTCTGGGTTTAATCAAATGTCTCAAGAAATTTAAATTAATTTTGGAAATGTGCACACAGTGTAACTAAACGCAAAATTCTGTCAATATACTCCGAGCATCTATTGACATCTATTTCAGTAATAGCTGCGGATTTCGTGCAACATTGATCGATATATATCTGCCGCTAAACAATATGTAAACATTAAGAACAATGAGAAACACTCGATGACGTTATTATGACTCGATGAGGCGAATGATTGTGAAAGACGAGATCAGAAGAAGCGAGTTATATTCAAACGAGCGAACAAATCCGTCGACATACTTATATTGTCTTCGTCTGACTTCGTCTCCTTCTCTTTCCTCTCAATGATGGTCCTGCGTTCCTGAAGAGCCCTACTGGGAATCAAGCCTGCTCTCATATTTCGATCACCTTCTCGCCTGGCTTGCCACCTGTATTTGTAATTATAATCAGCGCCAATTCGCCGCAAACGTATTTATATATGCAATATATAATAATTGATGACAACGAACTGTCTTACCAATAGAGGTCATCTTGACAGACAATATGCAGGACGTCACCCTTGACGAAGTCTAATCCGGCTTCCCTACAGGGAATGTAAGGGTCGTCGGCAGCCACATATGAAAAGTGTGCCCTGACGCGAACCTAAATTATTTATACGTATTTATTTGTAAATTTTTAATAACGTATTTAATGCAATTTTGTGTCGTAAAGATCAATCGCAATTGTTATTGCGACTGTCAAGGTCCTACCTTGCTTTCCCGGATTCCACTTTTGCTGTCCGCTGGTACTATTTTAAAAGTGATTGTCCCTTCCGAATTTTGCTAGAAAAAAAATTAAATTTACTTAAAAGTTTTTAATAACGACGCTTTATTTATTTAAGAACCAAAAGAGATATTCGAGTACTATATGGCTGCGTTCCGATATTCACTGCCATTGCTGAAAATCTATAGTGCACTTAACGTATACTATAGATTTTTAGTACTTGCAGTGAATATCGGAACGCAGCCTATATCTTGTCATATCAATAACGGAATATTTAAGTAGAAACTTGAAATGTTGAGACCTTTTTTGAAGAAGATTTTTTTCTATGAAATTTCGAGATTTCTCTTCATAGTCTCTTCAAAATAATATTGCATATTGAATATATAATAATATATATTATTTTATAGAATAATAAATATAGAAATAATTTACATTTTTATTAATCTCCAGCAATGTGAAATTTCCAATTTAGGTTCCCAAACATATAAAATTGTTACATCCGTTATTGTCTTATATATATATTTTAATTCTGGAAAAGAATTTCCAAACCTGTAAAAGCTACACGCAAAAATCTGATACAAATTTTTTTGCATTTAGTTGATAAAACAAATGATCTTAAAATTCCTTTAAAATTCCTAAAAGTCCACAGCAGATTATTTTATTGTTCCGCACTGTGTAAAAATCTGAAATAATTCATGTATACTTCTGAAACTTTTAACAAGTTTTTACCATAATAGAAAGTTTCTTTTAGAGATATTTCACAATTCATTCTCTTAAAATTCATTCATGTAATTCAAAAAGTGTGTATCTCATAAAAGACAGATATCTATTGAAGAGTTAATAGTTTCATTTTGTTACTCTTTTCTCCCTTCCCTACTTTAATAGCCCTAAAAATATGTATGTAATGGACTTAAAATTTCATTGAAAAATATGTGTCTTTTTAATTGTTCCTCTTATCTGTCGTATTTGCTAAAGACGAGACGGGAAAAATGCTTAACCTACCAAAATGTGTAGAACGAAACTGGGTGTCTTTCCCTCGACGCTGATACCGTTGACCTCGCAGACCTCGTCGCCTACGTGGATGAGTCCGGACCGGTCGGCCGCGCCGCCGTGCATTATCCGGGCGATCACGATCTTGCCGGTGACGTCGCACGTTTTTATGGTCGCCCCCTAATGTCAAGGTGTAAAGTCTAGTATTGTCATTGCGTTGCATCTCGCGCGCGTACGCATACTAGGGAGTGCCTTCGCTTTCTCTTCTTAAAAAAAATGGATAAAAACAAAGAGGTCTTCTCTTGTGAAAAGGCAGACGCGCGCGGACCGCGGGCACGGTAAGATCGGCACGCGTGGGCTCTGGTCGATTTCCGTGCCGCGATCGATCGATTTGAAAATCGTTGAAATTGTGCGGCACAGAAATAGACGAGCGTCGCACGCCGATAACATGAATATCCAAAAAAACGTTGCAAAGGTATCTAAAATATTTAATTTTTTAATTATTAACCATTACAGTACACACAAGGTCATTTATGTCATTTGTATCAGCAATAATTAATTATAATATTTATATACCTACAATTTTTTGTACACGCGATCTTACAAATACTTTCTAAAGATGTTAAAGTTTATGTGTGAGAATCCTTTAATAATTTTTTATAGAACTTGAAAATCATAAAAATTAATTCACATGAACGAGCCATCGTGTAGTAAAAGATCGGAAAATTATTGTGTGTACATAAGAATTAATTATCTCTGAATCTTTTAAATCTCCTTTGGAGTTTCATGTTGTTTAGAATGTGCTTTCTTATCTCCATATACATTTCCCGAGATAAACAAAAAGCAGGCATTTCAAACATTCAAATATTCGCAAAAGAAACGTAACGAAGATCGAAAATTTTTTGAGAAACACATGCCGCGAAGTGCAATTACCCGTAATGCTATTTAATTACGATTGCTCGAAGAAAAAATATGAAATTACAATAGATAGTGTTTGAGTTTTATTTATACTTCTTGAATTTTATGTGTCCAAATTTAATATATGCAAAATATTTAATTCAAGCGTATTTTTTTCCAAGTCGAACGGTAACTCCACTTCGCTGCCTAAAATATCAGTCATGCGGGACAATAACAACAAAGACAGTGATACAACATATGCATATATTTTATTTACAAAGCGAAAACATAAAACAACAACTGAAACAAGACATATGCAATGGACGCAACAGAGGCAAACAGCAAACTCAACAAACTTGTGCAGGGAAGGGGTAGGACACGATGATGATTTATTTACAGTTGAATTTATGTATGAATTTCCTGTGACCGTATACGATAATGTGAATTGACTAGATTGTCTACGCTGAAGCGGGGATTGAAACCGGTTCAATTCCGATTGAGATTCTCGACTAATCCAGAATTTCCGAGTGCTCGCAATTTCCGTTGGGCTGCGTTCAGGAATTTACGGTGTATCTCATGTTATCCTTGTTATTCACCGAATGTTAAACAAGGATAAAATCATATCTAGATCCACCTAGGCGAAGTTTCTGAACGCAGCCTTGCCGTTCGTCTAACGGCGACGGAAGTTGCACGCGCGCGTGAAAGAGACAAAATTCCATCCCCCGGTTTTCGATCCCGATGCTAAAGTGAGCGGTGGAAAAAAACGGAAAGAATGAACGGCCAAGGGGTTGAACGGGGCACAGGGCTGGTTTTTTTTTTCGACGTAAAGTCAGGTGTTCATCACAGGTGCTGAGCACATGTTTTTCTACGGCATTCAGGCGACTTACCACGATCGGTTCAACGCCGGCGTCGCCCTTCGAAGCAAGTTTGACGATGAAAGAAACACGTGATTACTTGGTTACTCTTTCTCTTCGCATTCGCGAGGCTATTTCGTTACTCTCCCTCTCCCCTTTCTCTCTCTCTCTCTCTCTCTCTCTCTCTCGCTCTTTCATTCTCTCGCGGAGGATTACTCTTTCTCTCACAAAATATCCAAAGTTATACGAACTACGCTGATACGTGACTCGCCTGCCTACGCCGATACACTAGGGAGCGTTCTCTCGCGTCTCATGCAAGTCGACGCGAACGGTACAACCATGTGTGGGCGGAAAAACGAATTCTTTTATAAACGCTCTTGCAAAAAAAAGTAATCTACTTTCGGACAAGTTTCCCTCCCCCTCCGGCTTTCCCTATGGCTTCTTGAAAAACACAAACGCGTTACGCTACTACTCGATCGACAATTAAGCCTTCCTCTTCCTCTTACGCTTTTGCTCACACTCTTGGGTTAATCGGAGAGTGAAAGACACCGCTCAGAAAAGACACCGTTATTGCAAATGCTGACTCAACGGCCGATCTACGACATACCAGGGGCTCGTTCGACTTCACCAGCTGGACGATCTTCACCGTCTCCTCGTCCTCGTCCACCTCCAGCGGGATCTCCGGCAGCCTCGGATAGTAGTCCTTTTGCGCCACCGCATCGTGAGCGCAGAGGAGACCCTACGGTGAAGAAAGTTGTTGGAATACACACTCTCAGGAAAATGTTAATTTTTCACATATCTTCAGAGACAATTATTAAATTACAACCGCAAAAGAAAAATTGACATCTGAAAATAATATTTGCAAGGAATATTTCACGTTTTGTGTTGCCGTGTAATAAGATATAAAATATTTTTCACAAAATAAGTATGTATGTAGATGAAGTATCCCAACAAAATTGACGTAAACGTTCTATATCTAACGAAAAATAAATTTAAAAAACAGTTTTACTGAAAATTAATATTTACTTTTAATATCTTGTTAGTTTTCTATTGACTTTTATCTTTTGCCTTTTCCAAGAAAGTGCAATAAATTGAGGGTGTTTTGTACTTATGGCCAAGATCGTGTCATTGTCTTTGAAGAAACTTATCATATATGAAAATATATTGTATTTATTACTGTCACTACCTGAATGTGTGGTTTTTGCAGCAGGTGGAATAGCTCCTTGTAGTCGGGCGAGACGTGCGTTTTGGTTGACAACAGATCGAGAACCTCGACATCGATGTCCATCGAGTTCGAGAGCACGGGGAAGAACTTGTCATCCTTGACATTGTTGAGGATCTTGTTATGAACGTTCACCAGGGCATTCAGTTCCTTGGACTGCAGCAGCTCACTGAGAAATCCGAATTCCTCCTCGGTACAGCTGGGTATTTCCGACTTGTTCTCCTGCAGCGAGTTCAGCAACTTGGACAACGCTGGAAGTGAACAAGTGAGATTTGACTGTGTAACAGGAATAAAAATCCACTATAACAAAATTGAAATCAACCTCCGCTAGAAAATTTATAAAATAAATTAAAAATGGAATAACTTCGAAAAACTGTCATCTTCAGTTCTTCGTTTAAATCTTATCTTTTTTTTTTACTGTCGTCCGCTTTATGTAAGCTTCAACGTAAAATGTAAGCGTGTTATTATTAGAGTCTAATGCTAATTATGTTCACCATATTTAAACGTGAAAGTACTAAAATTAGAAACGGTGTAACGAACTCTATCTCTCCCCACCACATGACTCTATAATGATTTTAATTCAAGTACAATTTCCTGCGACATTTTACGCGCCGATCGACGTCAATCGATATCGGATTCATTTTTAAACGCGGATCCACTCGTCCGAGACCTCTTTCTCCATTCAGCGCGAATTGGAGCACCGCGGAAATGTGCGGTCGCGAATTGGAATATCCGCCAACGCACGACCAGCGTCTTTTATCAGAAGACCTCGTTATTACTCGCGCACAATCGCGTTTATTTACTCTTTCAATTTCTCTCTTTCTCTCTCTCTCTCGGGTTTACCCTCGCTCTATATTTATAACGTACAACGCTTGCGCCCACGACGCACGTTTTATTAATACAATCTTTGAAGAGTATTCAGTCACGTATTGAATTATGCTCCGCAACTTGCTCCAATAACTCTCCTCGCACGGAAACAACGGGTAGGCCTTATCGACACGACCGCCACAACAATAGTCAACTTCATCGAAATCACCCCCTCGCCGCGCGAAGCCACCCTCGTCCCCTTGTGTCGACGCGTCGCGCACGATCGTACCCATAGAGTATAGTGAAACACGTGAAAAAAAAGGCACCCCTCGACGACGTTCTTCGATCGTTCGGGAACGCGAAGGTGGCCCCGGCGACGTTTCTTACCGGGGTCCCAGTTAACGTTTTCCATGACGACCGCCGCTGTCATAATTCGCACTCGGCGCCCCGGTCCCAGGCGTGTCGCCGCGTTGCCGCGACGGAAGGCGACGTGGGCGTCGCGACGACGACGACGACGCTCGGCGTCCGTTTAAGCGACGGGGTATCAGAGACGGCGATAGCGGGATCCGGGTCGGCGTATTTCTGTCGGGGTCGCGCGCTGCGCCGTCGCCGCCGCGTCCGCGACGGCCCACCCGGCGACGATGCTCTCCCGCTGCTGCTGCCGCTTCCTCGCGTCGACGTGTCGCGTTCGCGCCGTCTGGAGTGTCGTCGTTATCATAGCGAGAATAATCCGTTACGTAAGCAGCCTGTCACTCGACACGGGGTAGGATGATCGCCACCGGATTGGCCTGCCGTCCCTGCCCCGTGCGACTCCTCGACATGGCACGCTCTCCTCTTTCCTCTCTCTCCCTCTCTCTCTCTCGCTCTCGCTCTCTCTCTCTCTCCTTCTCTCTTCTTCGCACACGCGCTCTCTCTCTCCCTCGCGTTCTCTCTCCGTGCCGAGATCCGCTCCGAAATCCGACGTACTCTCTCCGCGAAGACGCACTCTCGCGCGCTCGCGGCCTTTACCCACCCCCGCGGACGATCTATCCGGCACTAGTGCACCCCCGATGAGGCTCGCGCGTTCCTCTGCACGTTTTTTCAACGCGGCCGTACCGGTGCCATGTTGAAAGGCGCCGCGAACAATGCGCTCCGCGCACCCTTCGTCGGCCACTGCTCCGTTTCCGACTCTCGCCCGACACAGCCGCGGCTCTCGCTCCGTCTCGCTCCCCCTGCGGCTCTCGCGTGGGCCGCGAAAAGAGACGGACGATTCTCGTCGAAACTCGACCCTATCTCGACCCGTGTTCGTGCACGCAGGGACGGCGTTGGTCGAAAAACACATGGCCATCTCGAGACTGCGTCTTCGGATGCCAGACTGATTTTCGAACGCTCCTATAGCTCGAATACGATTTGTGGTAATAAATAAGCATACGTTCTCGAAAAATTGGAGTTTTTTTTCAATGTCTTCATAATGACGGATGGGGTAACTTTTGTAATACGCGCGGTATATTTATATTTATAAGAAATAAATTCCAACGCAAAATGGCAATTAAACGAATGCACTCCGTGTGATCGATTATATAGTGCGATAATCAGAGCAGAACATGCCTTATATACGAAAAGCATCAGCTTTAAAGAATATATAGAAAATACAGGATAAGATAGAATCAACTGAATTTAAACACATGACACTTTGTATGAATTGTAACGTAGGTATATCATCTAGATTAATAATTTCATTTGAAATTTTTAATAATGTTAATTAAATGAATAACACACTTAAAACTGCGTGATTGATTAATGTAATAATTACAGCAGAACATATCAAATCTTCTAAAGATTTGAGAAAATACAGATGTAGAGTAATATAGAAGTTTCTCTAAATTCTTTAAATACATTCATAAAGAGCGCAAAAAGTATGTGAATCAATAATTTTAATTAAGAACTTCATAACATAATAAATATTAATTTAACAAACAATTATGTACTGAAAACTGTTTGAACAATCAACAAATAATTAGAGCAAAATGTGCTTTGTTGTAAAAACAAAGGTAAATTAGCCAAATTCTTTAAACGCAGAACGGTCGAATTGAGTGTAAAAAATATATTTTATTTAATATGAGCTGAAACATATATATGTGTAAAAAAGTTTATTAAACGAAACTGTTAATTAAATGAACGGTATAAGGCGGTTAAAACCACTTAAAAGTTAAAATCACATGATCAATCAGATAATAATTAGAGCGGAATGTATTCTATATATATATATATATATATATACAATAAGCTCCAGCAAGAATATAGAAATTCTAAAATGCACCATAAGACCGAATTTTTCAATCGAATTTTTTAAATATCGTACGACGATCATGTGGAGTATAAATTAGTATATTTAGATTAATAGTCCCGTTTATCAGAAAATACGATATGTTTGAATTCGATTATCCGCGGCTCGAGCCGGATCTCGAATCAAGCTTTACAGAATTATATAGGACAAGCCATCGTATCGGGCATGTGGCGCCATCTATCAACAATTTGCAAAATCTAACGTAACGCAATACAGCGTGTTGGCCGATAATAAACAATATTGCATTATATTAATTGTATTAATTAATGCCTCAATGAATTAAACTATCTGATTACGTCCGATCGCATCAGCACCATTGTGCTGGCAGAGATCGCGAAATTCCATCCGCGTGATACGATCTCTCGTCTATTTTTCCTCTCTCGGGACGTGCGCGTCGTACGCGATAAAACTTATATTGTCTACCGATTATTTTTTTTTTCTCATTTCATGAATGAAAATGCGAAAATATCCGCGCCGTATTCCGCCGACGAGTGAACGAGGTCTCGAGGAATCGAGGCTGCCAAGCGCGTTTTCGCCAACGCGCTGAAAACCGCGCACTTACGCGCCTTAGTCGACGGCGAAGCAGAGGCGGGACGGAGAGAGAAGGGAGAGTGCGCGGAAGGGAGAGAGATCGAGAGAGAATCGGCGGCTCTCCGCTCCCCGCGGACCCCGCTCGCCGCGCGGCATCGCGACGACGACGGCGCCGCGCCGCGTCGGGCCGCGTCGCGGCGCCACCGTCGCCGTGTGTACATGCAGTTGTCTGTACGCGAAACGTCTCGCCGCACGCCTCCCGCGGGGCGTACCTCCCGTTTGATTTCCCGCGGAGTTTTCGCGCGGCGAATCGCGCCGCCCCGCTACACACGACCCGCCGTTCCGTGCCGGTCCCCCGAGTTTCGGTAAGCCCGCCGGTTTCACTCTACTTTCCGCCGCGCGGACCCGCCGTCGCGCGTTTGACATGGCGTGCGTTTGACATACACATACACAACGCTACGCGCGCGCGCGCGCACGCGCTATCCGATTTTCGCGAACGTTTTCTCGCTCGCGAGCGTGCGCGCGCGCGCGCGCGAAAGCTCGTCGTCCGTCCGTCTTCGGATCGACGACGGACGGCACGACGTGACATCCTCATCGTCGTCGTCGTCGTCGTCGGCCGATCCGTGCGGACGCCGACAGTGGAAAAAATCGCGGCGATCCGCCGACGCGGCACGTCGGTGCGCGACCGGGCGATCCACAAGTGGTTGCGTTGCGGTGCGCGCGCGTGCGCGGCCGAGTGTGAGTGCGTGCGTGAATGAGCGAAGGAATGCCTGTGTGCGAGTGTGTGTGTGTGTATGTACGCGGCGGCGACGACGAGACGTCACGCCGCGACGCAGGCCGCGCCGCGACGCGACGTTCCCGAGAGGATCGGTCGCCTGCAGTTCGGAGCGCCCAGGGCCGCATCTAAAACGTTTTCGCGGAGCGTGAATCGTCGAGATATCTCGTTTGTCAGAGAAGTCTTTCCTTTGTGTGTGAGGGGGGGGGGAAAACCCCGGGCGCCGGTTCTGGTTGTTTTGACTCCGAGAGCGCGTCACGGCGATCTAGCCGTCGTAAATATTTCCGTGCGAAGAACCCGTGCGCCGTTTTATACCTGAATAACCTAAACGGCGAAGGAAACGATCGACCGACGTAATCATTCTTATATATTAGTCTTACAATTAACGTTCTTAAATTATTACTGGCTATGTTTGAAAATCATTACGACCTGTTAGATACACCGAATAGATAATAGATCAGGTGGTTACACGTGCTTGGTTACACGAAAGGGTCACGAAGGAGTATGATAATATCTCGTTAAGAAAATAATTTTATTGTTTTTTTTACCGGAGATGTTATCGTAGACCTTCGTGACTCGTACAGCTTAATTTTTTGTGTAGAAAAAAAAAGAGAACTGCGCCACGTTTCTTTTACTTTAATTTCTTTTACCTTAGGTATACTTTTTTTCGTATACGTGGTTACTACTCAGGAGTCTGGAGGTAGTCATTTCGTCCTATAGAGAAAATTACCGTATTGTGATGATTTTTTTTTTTAATTGATCGTAAATGAATTGAGAAATATGTCTATTCACTCAGAAGTAATCTAAAATCATAATAAATTCCGAAAAATGTGACTCCTCTGTTTATTAGTTCTATAACTAAAATAATACACGGAAAAAAATGATGCTTATGACATTAACAGCTGGCAGCATCTAAATGAAAATAATCTTGTTAATTTAATGAGAGTATAAGTGAAACAAATACACCATGTTTTTTTTAATGTTATTTTGCTAATATCAATATTTAATGAATGAAGATTATTTTCAATTAGATTGCTATTGACTAACATTGTTAATACATCTTTTTTTTTCTTCGTAGCATTTCGAATTTTCACTAAGATCTCAGAGACTCCCGAGTGTAGTGTATACCTAAGGTTATATAACTTAAATTTCTTTTATTTAAAAGTTTTTACTTTAAATTTCGTATTACTCACACCAGCACAAAATGCAAGTTTCAATTTCTTACAAATTGTTTTCATTGATACGACATAATTTGTATGTCGCTAATTTTTTTTAAACGTATCGAAATAAAAAAATTCGAGTTTATTTATGAAACTTCAGTCTTAAAAGTCTTCTTGTAAAATTTTTAAAGAAAAAAAGAAGGAAAAGAGGGAGAAACGGGAAGCTGCAAGGCTCCCGAAAATTTCTTCTTTCTTTTGCAGCGAAATAAAAATACCTTTCTTTCTCCCTCCCATTTTCTACGACGATACTGTAATGTAATGTGACATTTGTAAATAAATCGTATCCATCCCGACGATCGATAAGGCGTTGTTGATTACTCGCTCGAAACATCCCCTCCGAGCTTTCCCGCATTTTTATTTATGAAGTTCTTTTTTCCATTTTGTTGCAGACGTCTCCTCGCACATTTTCGCACCTCCCACTTCTTTTTCACTCATCGTTTTTGGTAAGCCCGATATGTTTTATTTATCTTCTCCTTCAATGTATTACCCGTATTGCTTTTTTTTTTTCTATTTGTTTACCAGCCTCATATATTTCACGCCCAGATTTTACCCGCGATCGCCCGTATGAACGTGTATGTACATTTTCTCATTTCTCATTTATGTAGTGTTTTGTGAGAAAAAAAAAATAGCGAATCGATTTGCGGCAGATTG